ATATATATATATATATGCTGTCAAGCACTAGCGTCCATAAGGTCATAGTTGGATGCCAATTTTACAAAAGAGACAGCGATATATAATTTGCCAGATATTATATACTTTGAATGAAACTTGTTATAAAAGAGGATTGATGAAAAGCCACCATGCTTGTATTGGTGTGGAAAGCGTTTTATGGTAAATTCTTAGTACATTCAATTACTTTTAGCCTACAAAACTCCCTCCCATGTATCAAAAGAATGTTTTCAGTAAAAGATATACTTCAGCTAGCACAGGAAACAAAAAATCCCAAAGGCAGCCACAAATTCCTACATTCAGGCTATAGTCACGTTGATACCCAATGTTCCTCATCGCTCAGGAGCATCAACGGACGGTACATCGTATACATTTGGATGTTTCATGCCAGAAAACGCATCAATGACCAATTCATTGCTTCCCAAAAGGTAGTCAGCCTCGTGTTCGCCTCTATAGAGCATTTGCTTTATCTTCGTTACTAACAATTGAGCAGAAATGCGCCTAGAAGAATCAATTCTAAGCATAGACTGCTCAATCAGATTTAGGAACGAAAGAGACATTTCAGAACAACGTGGGTTTTGGCGCAGACGGCCAATCCATTTGAGTACCCCTTCTCGTACCTCAGCCTCTGGGGGAGCATTAGGCCGGTCTGTTGGCGTCTTCAGGGTGAAATAGATATCGTCGATTATCTTGTCCTCTGCCAGCAACATTCGAGCCGCATCGAAGTCCTTGAGCCCCCGAGAACCTTCAAGTAGCCAGGTAATAAACTCGAGAAAAATACAGCCTAAGCTCCATATGTCATATGCACGGGAAACAGGCTTGCCAAGTGCAATCTCAGGGGGTGAATATGTCGGCGATCCCGAAATTTTCTTTGGATCCTGCATTGAACGGGACTCGAACCGGTGGAACCTCCCAAGACCAAAGTCTGTTATTTGAAGCACGCCAGCATTATTAGAACCTTGGGGTCCCTCTGACCGCAGGATGTTTTCCGGCTTTAGATCTCCGTGACGGCCATACTTCTTTTCCCGATCTTCAACACTCAATCTAACATTCCGGTAACGACTAAATCTTTCCAGAGTTGTATTTCCAGTATCGTTGACTACGTCTGTGAAGCCACCCAGGTCGAAATTATGAATAGCATTTAGTGCGGCCACCAACCCACAGATTTGCGTGAGAAACCAGAAGGCCGTTTCCCTGTTCCAATAAGGTATGTCGACAGAATTCCAATACTCTCTCAGGTTCTCTTTCGCATAGGGAAAGACTAAGTGGTATGAACTCTTAAACTTATAGGTGGCCAGAAGTTTTATGAGATGTGGATCATTGCGTTGTGAGAGTTTCTCAAGGAACTCTGTTTCTTTATTGAATTGAAGCTTATCTCGGGAGATCAATCGTTTGATGGCTAGATAGGGACCCTATTCAAACTAAGCAACTGCTAGATCTTTTTGAATGAATGAAATACCTCTGGGTCAATTGTGTCAACGAGATTCTGATGAGCTCGATGAATCTGTACAGGCCAAACTTGGCTGTACCCTCCAGCTCGAAACCTTCCGGCATCTTGTTCATAGTCTTCCAAAAAAGGCATAACGACGCTCTCATGGAATTCAAAGTAGGGTGTTTCCCCTGGTGACTTTCGAAATTGGGGCGCTTGAAAACACCACTGATCCCGGTCGAAATCGTTCCTGCTCCGCTGGGGCCACTCTGACATTACAGGAATCCCACACTGCCGATGATCTCTAATTTGACAGTCTTTGTGTTTATTTTTGCAGAGTACAAATGAACTTTTGTTTCTAGGATCAGTGTATGCTCGACAAAGCGGCAGATCAGCGTCGGTGACCCCTTCGGCAACAAAACTTTCAATGGCTTCTCGAAAAGACTCCTCTCCAGATATCAAGATAGCAAAGAGTCGTTTGGACTCAGGATAGATGGATGACAAACATCGTTGTAGTGCTGCGTTATCTTCTTCCATGTGTCGATAAACATTTTTCAATGCGTCCTCGATCTTGGGTTGTATCACCAGGCTGTCCAGGTGATCGATGGGGATGAAATATCTGTTTGATCCAATTGGAGACTCTTTCTGAACTTGAAGTAGATCCTTTTTAAGGGTATAAGATGCCATTGAGTCCTTCCGAGGGTTGCGCTAGAAGTAGGTGTTCCCCCGAAAGATAGATATCTTAAGTCTAGCTAGGGCCTGACAAACCAACTAGAAGCAGGTAAGAACATAAATGTCGACGCTTTATCGTAGAGTACCTGGAGTTTTCAAGAATTGTGTATGAGCAGTTTGAAATGTCTCGAGGAGAGCGAAGTTGCTTGCAGTATATAAGGCTGGGGCCTCCTCTACTGCAAGAAATACCCTTTAATCTACTGACAGAGCCTCAAAAGACCTCCATAAGTTTGCACAATATATGCTGATGTCCTATTGGTTGAGTAATTTCAGAAGTCACAAGCTTCTGGAGAGTATGATAGGGCGTTGATAGAAAGCGGGCGAAGGCTAAGGGTGTGGACCGTGTGGCATCCATCAACAGCAAATGGTGTGCATGGTAAACCTACATGGGGCGCCTATCAGGAGACATGCTGACCACACATATCATTTGGCGAGGGAATTGTTAATTACAGTACGCCCGACGCTTCTCATTTCTAATCAGGATTACTGGTATTGCTGGGTTAGGCAGCAATAATCTATCAGCATGCAGCAAAAGGCCTCACCGATTCTGTGGCTCGCTTGTCGTTACCATTTCTGATCCAGCTGTTCCCTCGGTGAAGATATTGTGCCTATTGGTGTAGATTCCGGGTCAATATCGAAGGTGTTTCTGGTAGGCTCGTTCTCTAATATCCCGCCTCTCTGGTGGCGCTTCGAAGGAGACCGATGCCAAGAGCTCCAATTGGAAGTAATGCCGTGTTCAATTGAAGCCCGTTGGCTGTTGGCTTTACCCTCGCCGAATTGGAGTGATTTCTTACCCTCTTGCGCGTTCATTGTGTATGATAACCATAACTTCCATATTGCGAAAGTGGCAACTGTTAAAGGAATGGCGACTACCACAACCCACCACGACTGAGAAATTATCGATATTCGACCCTTGTCGTCGACTTGAATGAGTTGGGTTGAGAAGAAATTCTAGAATAATTAGCGCTACTACTAAGTCAACTTGTATGAGACCAAAGACCTACCATAACGACAGTCATTGGTAGATAAATAAGGGTGATGACCGTCAGTATCTTCACCGCTGTAGATTATCAGAGCGAGGCCATAGTGTCGGTAAACAATTTCTACGTACCAGTTGCATCTCGGGAACCCCTTTCCTGTGAAGTTTCAGTATGAACGTAGTTTGCTCAACTCAATCACCTACTGTGAGGATCCTCATCTGGATGTTCTCTTCTTTAGTTTCTTTAATTAGTCCATTAAGAGACATCTGATTAAGATGTGCAACTTGAGCATTCTCATAATCGAGCCAATCCGTGAGCTGCTCAATGTAAGCAGCCTGGTATTATATTGCTTTCTGGAATATGCGGTTACTTACCATATGTGCTGTTCCCTGAGCCTTTTTATGTAGAACTTCAACCTTCTTCAAGTTTACCTGTGTCTCATTCATCTGCTCCTCAAGTTCTTCCATGGTTCTAGAACACGTACATTCATTGCACCTTGACTCTATGCAGTGAATCTGGCACTGCTTCTGTAGTTTCGACTGTGTGTTATACAGGGATTCAAAAATGATCTTTAGATCTAAAATCTTATCTTCAGTCTGTTTGAGTCTCTGCCGATCAATGAATTTTATGGAAATGTCCGTCGAGGGTGTCCATCGTACGTCTTCGCTTCTGACTGGTGTTAATGTAACGTTTTCTGACTAGACAACTTTTAGTAGTGGCTCGCAAGCAGCAACACTGTTCATTACTTACTTGTGACATCAAGAGCCTTTCCAAACTTCGTACATACAGTCTCCAGTTCCCGTGTAATGTTGAGATAATAATGAGATGAAGATCAAAAGCATTCAGACTTCGTTTATACTCGAGGCACCGCTGTACGGCTAATCCTAACATTTTCTTAGTTTTCTTTGATGGTGAGATTAAAACAAATGTCATCCTATCCATGGAGCTATTATACTGCTGATAAACTGCAGTCTGCCGAACTGACCACGGATCGTAGTCCGGATTCTCCAGATTCGATCCTTGTCTGTGGTTCAGCTCAACATAGCGAAAGCCGTACGCACATTCTACATACACAATTTAGCATTTAAACGTTAAAACATACATAGAGTTCTAATACCAAAAGACCCCAGCTTCCCACTAGGCTTAAAAACCACCGGTTCTGATTGTCGAAACCGAAATGGAGCATGCCCAATGTCAGACTCCCGAGTCTTGAAACTGAACGGCAGCATGAAGTCCCATATCCGATCAAAGATTGAGTATTTGTCAATCAGTTGTTCAAAAAGTTCACGCGTAACATGTAATCTGGAATAGGAGTTCCTTTGACCTATACAGAAAATGTGACAGGGATCCCGAGATTTCTGGAATTGTCAGCTAGCCGATGTTAGGGGGTTAGATAAAGGGCAACATAACATACAGCAAATCGATCCACATCTAACACAGTTGACACTGACTCGGGGTCAATATCGACACTTAATTCTCCGTAATCGTCCTTGAGGCCAGCTTTATTTTCGTAGAATCTACAGACCTCCAATGCAGATCGTTTCTCAGAGGCATAGAACGTAGCTGCAAAATCTGTTTCAATATCGTTGATGACTGACGAGTTGACCCAGTCGAAATATGACGTGACATTTTCTTGGTCCATTTTGTTGCAACTGAAATGGGGACCACTTAAAACAAGAACATGACAACAAGCAGAACTATAACTAGCATCCAGTACGCTGCATATTTCAGTGTTAAATAGTAAGCACTCTCTGACTCGTTCCACGTCAGTGAACAGTTCGACGATTTGACTTATTATTCATTGATATCCTATAATATTGTATCAGATTGGGCAATAAAGAGCATGACTAGAGTTGGTGGGCTGTGAAATATTATGCAGTATGACTGATACAAATACTGCAAGGGAACCAGGCGATGCATATGCTCTTCAATAAATTTCCAATTCGCCTTCGGCACAACCACCCTGCACCCCGGCAGCATTCATGTCGTCCGATTGGGAAGCACCTGCACCGCACACCATCCGATATCCAAAAAATGCTGCAGAAGCCCAGGCTTTGCAAATGGCTTAAGGCGGTAAGATGTACCTACCTTTCTAGACCCATTTGGTTTGATGCAGACCTGCAGAGCATGAAAATCGTGGCGCTGTCTACCTGATAGATTTACACTTTACAGTACCGGTAGCATATGCAACACGTTGGCGAATGCTAGGTCTCATTTAATAGTGCGGGAATTGCAGGTTTGCTCACAGAGAACTCAACATAAACAACACTCGTCGAAGCTGGACCTTCTTCTCCTTCATCTTTTCCTCCTCGAAATCGTCGCCACTGCAATACACGAATAAAGCAGGTAATGAAGCACCGCCAGGTAATCGATGGCAGGTACATTGACCGAAAGAGGTTGCTGCATCTTTTGAGGACAACGTTTGGGGGCAGTGAAAATTATGCAGTCCGGGTGAGTGCCCCACCAAGGCTCTCAGGCCGACCACTAACAAAACGTATCAGTTGCACCTGAATTCTTGGATTTTGACCATCCCCAAGGCTCTCACCGAGGCACGTCTTTACTAGTATCTGCGGAGGGAGAGCCTTGCTGATACCATATAGGATCAGATCGAAAGCTGCTACTTCGTCGATTGAAGCCGTTAGCGCCGAGCCAGAGCATCGGATTTTACCAAATAGTCGTTGGGGTAATAGCAGACGGGGAATATCTCCAGGACCTGGAGCGGGATAATGATTGGGAATGTATACACATAAATACGCGCTAGCAGCAATAGCATTCATACATCACGCTGTCTTGTACATACCAAGGGGTATTCTCCAGAAATTTGAAAACGCCATGCGCCAAATACTCCCATTCCAAGACCTTGTGCCTAAAAGTCTGTCTTCTTCAAAAGCACAGTCCACTCCATCCTTCGCTAAGCTGAACTTTTTCCAGGCGTCTTAGTGACGTGGTTGCCTGTCTATGTACGATTTCCATCATAAGATAAAGGTCGTGGATCTCTTCAAGCCTGATAAAATTGGAGCAGGAGAGCTGCTATCATGAACAAATCTTCGTGTAGATGCCTTTCGAGGTTTCCTTTTATAGGGTTGCGCTTCCGTGAGATAGGTCGGTTCTTTCTCTCCCCTTTCCACCATTTTCATGAGTTCCATATTCAGAGGTCCACACGCGATGCGGGTTGAAGGATCAACAGCTAACATCTTGTCTTCAACGAGGTCCAAGAAATCGTGAATGAAAAGTGAACTTCGTGGCTGTCCATGAAGAACACGGATCCATTCTCTAACTCTTTCTCGGAGAATGCCGTGCGGAGTAAAGCGGCCCTGCGCATCTTGGATAATGGTATAGAAAGTATCGTCAGTGACGCCTGATGCTCCGGTCATGCCCCGGGCTTTAGGGAATGCACTGAGTTCTTCCCAGCCGAGAATCATCCAAGTTATAAATTCGAGGTACAGGCAACCCAAACTCCAGATGTCGTAAGCTCGAGAGATCTCTTTTTTCAATCCCATTTCCGGAGGCTCATATGTTTGAGATCCTCCGATCTTCTGGGGAAGTACTTTAGACCTCGTCAGTCTCCTGTGAAAATCCATGAGGCCAAAATCGGCAATGAGAAGATAGCCTCGCTCTAGAAAACATTTGCAGCGATCGATGTGGATCTCGTCTATCTCTATAGACCATAAAATATTTTCGGGCTTGATATCTCCATGGCGACCGAATGTTCGATCGGCATCTTCAACACCAGCGAAGCTACCATTCCCCGGAGGTACTTTTGCCCAGTATGCCAAACACTGGGTAGTCTGACGTGTATGAATTAGATGTAGACCTGACGCTATTGCTTTACACTGATGCAAAGACCAAAGTATCATGGATCCAGTAAAGTCCGGTATCGGTTTACTCTCCCAATATTTTCGAAGGTTCGATTTCGCAAAAGGGAAAAGCAGGTAGTATCTGTTTTTATATCGATACGTAGCTAGCAGTCTGACAAGGTGCGGATGACCGTGAGCAGTGAACGCTCTGAACATATCAACTTCCGAGAGGAATTCTTCCTCTTTAGGTGTGTGCAGTCGTTTCAAAGCCATTGAAGGTGGTGACTTCTAGGGAGAGTTAGCAATTGCAATCAACGGAAAATGTGACTTCTTCACCTCCGAATTGGTACTACAATGCAGCTTTTGGTGAGCGGGGTGTATAATGATCTCCCATACTGTACTAAAGCCTCCCTGTTTGACTTGATCGCCTTGCTCTTCGTCCTTTACAAAAGGCAGAATACAATTGTTGCCGATATCGTAGTGAGGGATTCGATCCTCTTCATTATTATCGAAGACGTGAGCTAGAACGTACCACTGCTCTCGATCGAAATTGATAATGTTAGACCGATTCCAACCAGCCATACATCTGATAGGCTCGTTTGGCCGTGATTTGCTGCACAGCTGCCACCTCCCAAGCATTTTGGTATCGTCTGTCCTGCCAAAAGGTAAATCCTCATCGTCAATTTCTTCATCGATAAATTGAGGAATAAGGTGTCCAAGTCCCAGACAAACAAGAATTGCGAATAACCTTGGAGCCTTGTTGGAGATATCTTGCGCTAAAATATGTAATTCCTGCGCAGCCATGGGTCCCAGTTGGGATCCGCCAAGCTCGTCCATTATTGAATCCACATCGAGTAGTCGTTCTAGCTCATCATTGGGGATGAAGTAGCTGTTCATGCGTGGAGGCCATTCATGGCGAGCTTTAAACAGTGCAGCATATAGTGCGGATCCAGAATTGCTACGCTGTGGTGGGTGTAAAGACTTGCTTGATTCGGCGTCTTCGCTTTTGAAGCTCCCTAGAGTAGAAGAAGAAGCAGTGCCCTGGGAGTGCTCCGTGTGTATATCCGTGGCGGCTTCCTGCAGGCCTCGACTGGAGCTTTCGTTTATTTGATCTTCGAGGAAGGTTGGGGTGCTGGGTAAGTAAAGTCTACCCTTGTAGAGATTGTCTTGGAAATGACGAAGTGAACTGGGAGGGCTTTTCGTCAAGAGGGGCTTTCGCTGTTCATCATTCCTCTCATTACGCGTCAGGCTAAGTTTCCGGCTTCCTGTTGCACCTGGAGTTGGATAAATCTAGACAGTTATCCCAGTCAGCCAGGCTCAGAGAATCGAGATACTTACGCACGAAAACGCCATCGCCCTTACGAACATCCCGAGAAGTAGGCTGATCTGCCCTCGAGTGGTTCCAGAAAAAGTCCCTCACTTGTTGCAGGCAATTGCGGGTCATCGTGGTGGCCGCGATTAAGCAATTTGGGGCGTATGCTGAAAATATATTTAAAACCAAACCGTTGTACAGCGAGATCCCAAGGGGGAAAAGGCTCTTATATTGGCAGTTTCTGCTTACTGGTGATGGGTTACCCCGGTGTTGCAGAACCACAATGTTGTTGAAGGGCAGATCTCAAGGCACCATTTCCATCTCCCTTTGAGCGCAAGGCTGAAAGAGTGACACCATATCGGGATATAACAAGAAAGCTTAGTACAGGGTTGTTAATGCTTGGTAGAACGGGATGGTTCAGTCGTTTCCCCATGTGGGGGCGGGGTGGTATTGGTGGAGGAGGTGCATGCAGATGATCATGTACTGGACTCCGCTCACCAAAAAGCTTGACAAGGAGCGGCCGTAACAAAATGTTCATTTTGTACAGCTAGAAATCAAGGCTATTGAGTATAAACATAAAGCAAACAAGCCAAGAATGAATAAAACTTATTTCCAAAACTGGCAAAGTTGCAAAAGTATCCCACACATGACATCACGGGATGTCACCTCGAACTACAAATATCTAGTGAGGTATGGTACCTGAACTCAATGTCGAACCAAAAGAGATGATAGCTTGGTTGGCTAGTCTTGCAGGGATATGGAAAACATTTTCCACGGAGGTGTGCTGCCTACATGTTGTTGCGGCGCAGTAAGCTGACAGGCATTTCTATCCCCTGTTCAGAGAAAAGATTGAAATGGGGGTGGCTTGCAGGTTGAGGGTGTAGTGAGGCTCTAGATGGTTCCTTGATTGAAATGGGTGCATTGCTCGATTATGAAATACGAAATCTCATCGCATATGTAAATAGTAAGCCAGATTTGAAATGCTCAACATATGGTCATCCAGCCAGAAAACGACCTGCGCCTGGATCAATCTCTTTCTTCGAGGCACCATCCTTTCCATCCTTCGCTGACCCGTCCCTACGCGTTTTCGCGCCCTCCTTCAGTTTCTCCCACCGCTCTCGATACCTCGTGACGACAGCTTTCAGTTTGTCGTTCTCCTTTCCTAATCTCTCAATCTCCTTTCCACCCAACGATACGTGCTCTTCCAACTCCAGAACTCTCCTCTTCAACGACTCATCTCCACCGGTTACGCTCTGGCCAGGAAGTTGATCTCTCGCAGGGCTTGGTGATCGATATAGTCGCATGCTCTCCTGTAGTGCCAGACTACTCTTCTGAGCCCCCATCTCAAATGCGTGAAGTCGTTTGCTTAGCCTATCAACGCAGTCCTTTAAGCTCTTGTTCTCCATATCAAGCTCTTCGACCTTGTTCTCCATGATTTTACTATTCATTCTCTTAATTCCCTTTCTAGGTAAGCCAGGTGAGAGCGGCATAGGTGTCTCTCTAGCATCGACGAAATCATCTTCCTCGGGATCTCCGAACATCTCGGGATTTTCGCCATGCATAGATGCTGCCATTCTTCGCCTCTCCTTTTGGTCAAAGGTTAGTATTTGGGCGTACGACACCGTATGCCCGGCTGTTGGGACCACGTAGAAAGAATCATTTGCAGAGTGACCATCACGAGCTGAAGCTCTCAAGGCTGCCCTTGAAATATACTTTGTGAGATCCGGCTCTATGGCTGCTCTTTCCTTGCTGTTCGATGTACGTCTCTTCACGGGCACAACAGGTTCCGGAATATTGCTGCTAGACTCTTCTTCAGAAACCAAAGGCAATCCCGCAAAAGCCAGAGGGGCAGATAGCTTTGAAATTATGTTCTCGAAAGTGTTGTAGAATCTTGAAAATCCTTCATCAGTGGGCGTAGAAGCTATAGCCGCTTGTTCTGCGACCGCAGACGTTCGGGAGGTTGCTGTCTGAGGCTCTGACTTCTTTGGACTGGCTTGTGTAGGTGGTAGCCAGCTTGGTTGTGGAGTCGAATATTCAGGAATGCTGTCATTAACCTTTGATCGTTTTCCATCTCTGCGAGGATGAGATTCTAGGTTACCAGGAGCTTGTTGAGCTGAAATGCTGGGTGAAAGAGGCTGTCGAGTATAATTTGCACGAATGCCTCTTGCTGAGGCAAGGTTGCTAGCTATTGAGGAGCTTAAGTCGCGAGGTGGGAGACGTCGGGGATGTTGTAGACTTGGCGGTCGTAAAGGAGAGGACGAGCGAGGCCCAATATCCGATTTCGAAGCGCGTAACTCAGCGACAGCTGCAGATGTAGATAACGGCTTCTCTGCCAACGTTTGTACCTCGGGTTCAGTAGATGTAGTCGAGGGTGGGTTCTCGGAGGGGTAACGAAGAAGCTCTGATAATCTTTGGTGGTGATGCTCTAGTAATCTCAACGTTCTCAGCGCCTCTGCGCTTCCTGTCCCAGTTGCAGCCTTAGAGAATTCCCCAGCTGCCAAAGCATGCTCATTGATTGCGACTGTTGTATCGGAGCTCTGAGTTGCGACGGAGGCAGCTCTGGCATGATCGTGAGCCTACACAAGTTTTTAGCTTTGCTAAGTTCATGTTTGGCGGTTATACAGACCAAAGTCAACGGAGAGGACTCCATGGTGAGGAATATGGTGTAGCTTTTGCGAAACAACGTTGGAATCTAAGGTAGATTGAAGCTCAGGTGGTTCATGATGGGCAGTCCATTTAAGGCTTAGTTCAAAGTCACGTGCCATACCCATTAAGTCATTGTTGTTGGACAATGCTAGTCACAGAGAGGACGATAATTGGGGTCACAGCTAGCATAGATGTGATAGGCATATAATAGTGTGTATTCAGAGAAGGACAGTCTAGCGTGATGAAGAGATTTATCCCACAGACGCTTATGTAAGCAGCTAAGTCCAACAATTGTCAACCTAAACTTTTATCTTTCTTCCGCTTTTCACTATCACAATCTGTTTACTGTAGAAGGTTCGTCAGATTATTCTTTGGAAACCCTTAATTCATGGGCAATTATTATTTCGCAAGGTCGAAGCTCGAGGAAAGCATGTTGACAGCAAACAAGGAAAACCGCTCCCGACCCAAAATTTTGCTTCTTTCATTTTAAAGTCTTTTGTTTCTTTGGTATTAGGAATGTCCCCTTGAAGATATGATAATTACCATTCACAGCTCTGGACTATCTAGAGCCTTCGAATGTCCTGGTTGTCGAGTCCGACGGCTCCAGCTTCACCTTAGCGTTTATGAACAACGAAGAAGCCACGAGTGGGTTGCTTGAGTTAGTTATATATATCTGGTAAGAGTTGAGAGTTTTGATATTATAAGACAAGACACACGTTATCATGCTCTACCATAACTTTCGTTTCCCTTCCTCATCCCTAGCGCCGCAGCACCGACATGCTGGTAAAGGTTATCCGGAACAAGGCGGGGTAGAAACTCATTTGTATGGACCAGATGTTAAGAATAGCTAAAGTAGGCTATTGTTCTAGGTGATGTCAATTTCCAATGAGTGTTGATCTCCGAGTGAATTTGCTTGTGGCAGGTTGCAAATCGTAGTCTCGGTGGAGAAACGGCAAGACCGGGCATTTGCTTTTACTCTATCCCTATTCTTCCAGGGCTGTGAGCTTTGCCTGGGCAATTTGGAGTAGAATATTTTTATTTTCCAAATTTCGTCTTCACTTGGTCATTTTCCATTGTATTGTTTATCTGGAAAGAAACTCAGGCATTTGCTACATCCTGTAAATACCCCTCTCGAAATCAAACAACACAACAAGCTTATCTTTAAAGCACGATTGAAGTGCGACATCACGAAAGCATATCCCAGGACATGATTCAAAACCCTATCGCTATAACCAAAGAACCCCAGCAGAGAAACGCTGAATTATTCAAACCAATATTCCAAAAGCTCGAGCATACCGATCAGATTTCGTATGGAAAGACTTTTTGCAGGAGTCTTTTGAAATGAACCAAAGTTAGAATCTCAAACTATCATCACTTACTTCTAGAATGCAAGAGCGTAGTTCAAGAACCCTCAAACCTCTTTCCCAGCTCTTAAACTCCAGCAACATGGCCCAACACTCGGGAATCTGAGACGGGCTGTACGTATATACGATATTTAGATGCTATCTAGGTGTGAACAGAGGTGGATTTTGAATTACATATATGAGATAATACGAAAGAAAGTACATCGTACGAGATTAGTTGAGAAGATGGAAAAATAGCAAGCAAGTGTATGTATTACTACTATATAATAAGCTATGAATGTACGAGCTAATACATTAGCAAAGCGTGAGCAAATAGGGTATATATATACTGAGCATAGAAACATAGAAAGAGAAGAAGAATAATACAACCAACCACCTAAATGAAGCCTGCTCATTCGTTCTCCTCCCCGTAATCCCTGACCAGATCTCCCAACTTCGAAACATTACGCACACATACTGTATACACATACATACAATTCTCCTAATCCCTCATCCCCTCAATCAAACATTCATTCACTCATACCAATTTAAATCATCAACCGCAACCCCCGAATACGGATTCCACTCTTGCCCCGGATAAGACGTAGCGCTCATGGTAGCACTCGGTTCCGCTCCCTCGCTCACACCGCCATCATAGAAGATCTTCTCTTCCCTAGCTACTCGATAGCGTTCCTGATCCGTATTATCCAGCTCCGCCGTATGTTCATTCTCTTTCCCTTCTGGCCTCCTACTCCTACTCCCACTCCCGTGCTCTTTCCCAATCTCGAGGTTACTAGGTCCAGCACCAGCTCCAGTCGGCGTCACAGGAGAAGGATTCGAGCGCACGGTTGGCGGGTTGACGAGCTTCGGAAGACGAGGTGAGGCATCGTAGATGTCATCGTGATCACTCACAGCCGGCGTCTCAAGCACAGTCTGGACAATCGTGCCAGCCTCACTACTCTGCGCTTCCCGACTCGTGCCCCTCTGATCGCGTCTTCCGCGCTCGAAATCTGGTGTTGGAGGACTGGGACTAGGACTCCCATCTAAGCCCCTTTGCTGGCTAATATTCGGTACAGTGAGCCCAGCGCTGTCGGGCGGCAAACTGGGACTCGACATAACGGACACGGCGCTGACAGCTGTACGTCGCGTATTAGATCTATCCAAGTCTAAGCTCAGATTTAGACTATCGTCCGCGGACAGCGTATGTGTATGTCCAGGCCTATACTGTGCGTCTAATAAGTTTCTTGGCGGCGATTTTGGTGGGGGCGGAGGTGGCATATCAACTGCTCCGGGGTTTACGGGTGAGAATGTTGAGTCCGGGATTGCGTAGCTAGCTGGGGAGCCGGGGTGCTGTATAATGGGCTGTTGCAGTCGCTTGATACTATTATGTTTTGGGGGGCTGGAGAGGGGTGTAATGATGATGGGATCATCTTTTGAGGTTGGGAGAGGCTTCTCGTCTTCGTCTGCGGAGGTATCGCCAGGAAGGGAAAGTTGGTAGGGCGGTTGCTGGCCTTCTTGGGCACGTGCTGGAGAGCGTGCGAGGTCGCGGCTGGGGCGGCGCTCGCTGGGTTGAATATCTGAATGGCTAGCTGGGGAGAAGGAGAGGTTGTGGCTCAGAATGGGGTTCATGGAGTGATCGAAGCTTTCGATGGCGAGCGTAGGTGCTGCGTGCCTAGGTTCTTGTCCGTTGTTTGGAGATTGGATGGTCTGCTGAGGAGAAGGTGTCTGATATTGATACCCATTGAAGTATTGTTGAGGCTGTCCCTGGGTTGGAGGAGATGGGTACTGGCTCGGAGCCCAGTTTTGTGGCTGCCCATATCGAGGATCTGGCTGTGGTGCCCGGTTGAAGCCTCTTGGGTCATACTCTGTGGGTACAGTCGTAGCACCCTGTCCACGAACTAAAGAATAGCCCCCAGGAATAGGAACACTGTCATATTGAGGCTCTCTACTGATCCGACGGCCGCGATCTCGATCCTGATGTGATGAGTCTTGCCGAGAGGCTGATCTTTGCTTCTGTGGCGCAATTTGAGGAATTGGCTGTTCTATGGACTGCTGACGCGGCTGCATTTCCTGTTCCCTCTCTTGCAAGTCGGTATAAGTTTGGGCACGAGGCAAAGCCTGACGTCCGCTTTGTGATTGGCTCAGTTGTGACTGACTTCCCTGAGAACGTGAATCCTCTTTGTCCCAATCCACTTGTTTTGTCTTTCGACCCATAAACTCATTAAGCAAACCAGCAGCAGAAGGTCGACGAGTCTGTTTCTTGTTCTCTTTGCGAGAGTCTGGTGAAGAGGACGCATTATTATTGTTTGCCAACACTGAAAATATATTTCGAGATTGACTCGGTGCTCTCGTAGCAGTTGCTGGGATGACACGCTTTGGTGACGGAGGCTGATAATGATCACTCGCCAATGGCTGGTAGTTGTTTGATCGAGTTGGATAGTTTGGGCTCGTCGGTGGTCGGTAGTTGCTGGGTGGATACGTTTGTGGCTGGACGTTCTTCTCTGGAGGAGACGGGGCCTTTCGAGGCTCGGACAGAGGCGCGTTCATTGGCTGTTCACCATGAGATACCTTTCTTATATTTTGAGGCTTCTGGCGGGCTTGCGTAGAAAGTGATGCTCTTGGCAAGTTTCCAGGCCGAGCAAAGAATCCAGTCAGGCCTGAGAATCGCTTCTTTTTGCCAGGCTCCGCACCCATGCCCAGTGAGGTTGCAGCTCTTTCGGGGTGCTTTGGTTCAACAGGACCATTATAAAAATACGGATGCGTTTGGCCCTTGGGAGAGAATGATTCTTGTTTTGAGGCCGTAAGATCAACGCGTGACCCTGAAGGATGAGTGACCATACTGTCCCGGGTTTCCGGGGTCTTTGGAGTCCCCAGCACACCCGTTGAGGTACGAGTAAGATGCCCCATGAAGCTTGAACGCTGCTTCCTATGTTTCTTCTCTTTCCCTTCTTCCGACGCAATACTAGGCTCGACATGCCCATTTTCAGGGGATTCAAAATTTCTTGTAGATGAAAAGCCATCCTCGCGAGATATGGAGTTTCGTCTTTCTCGAGACGTCCCACGCGATATCCTACCCCCAAGCTCTCTGAAAAAGCCAGAGTTACGTCTAGATGTCGCAGAAGTCGGTTCATCGACAGGCGGACCAACGCCTTCAATTTGATATTCGGCACCCTGCTGCCTCGGTAGAAAAGCGTCTTCGCGGGTTATTGGCTGTTGATATAAATGGGAAGGGAGGTCACTAGAACCTGCATGCACGACATCATCCCCATACATACTGAGGTCTGCTCGTAGGGGTTGCTCTGGTCGAAACAAATCTGGATATCGGCTCGCTGATGAGGGTGGTTGCTCAAAAGACTTTATCTGAGAAGAATATCCTGCTAGAGGGGGTCTCTCAATAAAACTGCCATTTGAACGTGGGAGATTTTGGCTTGAGCCTGACATGCCACGGTTCCCCTGTGGGCCCCATGTGGTTCGTGCAACTGTCGATTCGCTCCATTGTGTAGGAGGGGCTTTCGAGGATGCAGTGAGGCTTGGTCGAATTGATTCCTCAGAACTTCTAGGATTTTGGGATCCCATCGGAAGATGAGCTGCAGGCAATGCGGAGAACTGCTCATGAGATTGTTCGGGTTCACCATTCACTGTTATACTCTGATGATACTTC